GCATTCCAGAGCTTTGGAACTTGCTTGGGATCCTGGAGCTTTCTCGGGATTCCAGAGCTTTGGAGCTTGCTCGGGATCCCGGAGCTTGCCCGGGATTCCAGAGCTTTCTCAGGATTCCAGAGCTTTGGAGCTTGCTTGGGATCCTGGGGCTTGTTTTTGGGATCTGGGAGCTTTGGAGCTTGCTCGGGATTCCGGAGCTTGCTCGGGATTCCAGAGCTTTGCAGCTTGCTCGGGATCCCAGAGCTTGCTCGGGATTCCAGAGCTTTGGAGCTTGCCCGGGATTCCGGAGCTTGCCCGGGATTCCGGAGCTTTGGAGCTTGCTTGGGATCCCGGAGCTTGCTTGGGATTCCAGAGCTTTGGAGCTTGCTCGGGATTCCAGAGCTTTGGAGCTTGCTCGGGATCGCGGAGCTTGCTCGGGATTCCAGAGCTTTGGAGCTTGCTCGGGATCGCGGAGCTTGCTCGGGATTCCAGAGCTTTGGAGCTTGCTCGGGATCCCGGAGCTTGCTCGGGATTCCAGAGCTTTGGAGCTTGCTCGGGATCCCGGAGCTTGCTCGGGATTCCGGAGCTTTGGAGCTTGCTCGGGATTCCAGAGCTTTCTCAGGATTCCAGAGCTTTGGAGCTTGCTCGGGATCCTAGGGCTTGTTTTCGGGATCCTGGAGCTCTGGATCTTGCTGCCGGGATCCTTTCCCGCACCCCGACCTCGAGCCGCTTTCTCCCGCGATATTCCCGTTATTCCCGTTCTAGCACTTGCCTTTCCCGCCTCTCTCCCATCCTTTCCCGCTCCTCCCGGCGGGATAACCGCATTCCCGCTCCAACCCCTATCCCGTCTCCTCCTGAACCATTTCTTGTGGGCCTGGCACTTTAGTGGGAGCTGGAGCAGCTCCGGAGCGCTGGGATCCGGCTCTCCCGTTTCCCCTCGCAGCTTCCGAGCTCTCCAATATTTATTTTTCTCCCCCTTTTCTCTTTTTTCTTGGCTGCTTCGGAGTTTCCAGCTGCATCCCGTCCCTCCCGGAGAGACTCTGACTGCGTCCCTTGTGGTTTTCCGTCTTTTTTTTTTTGTTGGTGGATTGGATTATTATTAATTTTGGGGTTTTCTGCTGGCACTACAGAGCTAGTTCGGAATATTTTTGGCTAAAAAAACGAGAATTAAACGGAGATTTAGTTTTTTGAAATGGCAGATGATAATAAAACGTTAAGGTTGTAAACACGAGTTTTCTGGCTGTTCCCAAGGGATTTGGGATGCGGGTCCCTCCGGAGCCTGGGGATCAACAGTTTAAATCCGTGTTAATCCTGAGCTAATCCCGGTAATGGGATTAGGAGAGGAGCTTCATGCTCCCCATCCTTGGAATAATGGGAAAAAGCGGATGGTTCCAAGGGAGAAGCTGAAGGAAACGTCCTTTTCCCGCAAAACCTTTTCCTTTTAGCTGCTCCGGAGGGATCCGGTGGGAGCGGAGCCCGGAATCCGCTGCGGACACCAACCCCCTTCTCCCATTCCCAGCCCTAAGGTCAGTGGATGGATCCGCAGGATCACATGGATCTAGGAGCAATCCCGCTATCTAATTCCTTGTTTGGGAGCCCGTTTTGGAAAATCCCAGTTTGGGGAGCGCGAATGGAGCATCCCGGCTCCGGAGGAAGCCGCTTTAGGATTTTTTTCTAACTTTTTAGGATTTTTTTTAGGATTTTTTTCTAACTTTTGCCTCTTCCTTAACAAGACAAAGGAATTTTTGCCCAGGTTGGGATTTGAAACCCGCATTTGGATATAGAAGCCCGACGGGAATTCCTCCAAGCTGTTCCGCATCCGAAGCGCCGCTCCCATGGATCCCAGGGATCAGGAGAGCGGACACGGGCTCCGTAGAGCTTTTTTTTATTCATCTTTGTACACAAATCCCACGGTTTTCCGGAGGCTCCGGCTCTCATCTGGTGCCGATGGTGACCTGCCACACGCGGACGAGGTTGTCCGTGTAGCCGGCGAACAGGGTCTGGGAGAAAAAGGGAAAAAAAGCTGGACCCTGGGACGGGAATGGCCCTGGGAATGTCACCAGGAGGAATTACAGCCCCGGGAGGGGATTTTTGAGGTGAAATCCGGGGTTTTTGTACCTGCCCGTCCGCGGACCAGGCCAGGGAAGTGCATTGGGGCGGCTCCGCTTTGCTGCTCGTGCTGATCACCTCCTGCTTCAGCTCGTCCACGATGATCTTCCCTTCCAGATCCTGGGAAAAGAGGGATGTGAGGGAAAACGGGAAGCGCCGAAATTCCCATTCCCGGGGGTCGGGATCGCTCAGAAACAGCCTCTGGGTTTCCGCACAAAAACACTCAGACGGCACCAAAGGTTTCGTCACGGCGCGGCCGGGTGGCCCCCTCCTCCCAGGTGCCAAATCCTGGGATTTCGAGGGAAAAAGGAGGGAATTTGGGTTACCCAGATCTTGATGCTGGGGCCGGTGGCGGCGCAGAGCCAGTAGCGGTTGGGGCTGAAGCAGAGGGCGTTGATGATGTCCCCTCCATCCAGCGTGTAGAGGTGTTTGCCCTCGTTGAGGTCCCACAGCATGGCCTGGCCGTCCTGCGACACGGGAAGGAAGCGGGAATGCCGGTTTTCCAAGCGCTTTTCCCGGAGGTGGTTTTCCCGGAGACGCTTTTCTCCCAACCCAGGTGATATAACCCCAGCTATGGAGCATCTCGGTGCAAAAAGGTGGCAGCGAGGGACAAATCCCAGGGAAACCGCGCGCTGGGATGCAAGCGGCGGCTGGATTCCGCCCGGGAATAATGCGGAATTCCTCCGGAATGCCCACCTTGCCGCCGGAGGCGCAGAGGGAGCCGTCGGGGGACACGGTCACCGTGTTCAGGTAGCCCGTGTGCCCGATGTGGTTGGTCTTCAGCTTGCAGTTAGCCAAATTCCAAACCTGGAAAAAAGGGATGGGATTGCCGCCGTCTTTCCCCATCCCGATTGGGAATGGGGATCCTGCGGATGCCGGGAATTCCCCCCCGTGTCCCCTTGACCAGTTTGTCCCAGCCGCAGGACACGATGATGGGGTTGCTGCTGTTGGGGGAGAAGCGCACGCAGGACACCCATTCCGAGTGGCTCTCGTCCTGGGAAAAGGGAAAAATATCGGAATCGCAGCGAGGAAACGCGGATT